CATAGCATGCCTTACAGAATACGGGTTTCTTGGGGAAGAAACCGATCCGGTGTCGGCCTATGCCTTAACTGATGCTGTGTATAGGGCACTGCTTATCTCCGATAGAGGGCACTTTCCAAGGAAAAAATTCCAGGACCGGGCATTGTCGATATTAGTATGGCTTTTCGTTTAGTCGGAGTTTGCTTCGGTTTCATTGCCTATATTTGTTCCAAACTTGGGGAGAAAGAGAAACTGAGGACGTGAATTGAAGAGATCAACAGCTTTAGCCTGTGGTTATTTCCAATTTAGGAAATTTCATCAAGATGTCTTCAAATTGCAAACAATAACAAGTCATCCTTTTTGGCCTGCTTACTACCAGTTTCGATTATGGCTTTGTTTTTAAAGTAAACATATGTTTTAAGCTTTTATAGTCTGTATATCTGAAATTTAGTCATTTTACTTTTGTTTTTGGGTAAGCTACATCTTTAGTGCCTAAACTATTGTTTTTATTTTATTTTGGTACTTAAACTTTATTTTTTTCAAAACCATACCTAACGTTAATTTAGGTTTTAATTTGATAGCTCGCCGTTAAAATATTAACAAACTATCGACGTGACATTTGTTACTTTTTTCAATGATGGTGTTACATTATCATACGGTGACACGTAAACATTATCTTTAGTTTTTAACTGTATGATACCAAATTGAAACATAAACTAAACATTAAGTGTGATCTTGAGTCCTCAAAAAAATAAGTATGATTTCGGGGAAAAATAAAACTTGGGTACCAAAACATAACAAAATTAATAGTTTAGGTATTAAATGTATAATTTACCCTTATTTTTATTAGTTTAATTTTAGGTGTTTTGTCCGTAAAATTTTGAAAACTCTATCATAATTCAAATGATATAAAGAAGCCTAAAACGAAATTATATGAAGTCGAAATGATCAACTTAAAAAACATAAGCTAAAATTGATAACATATAGAGTTACAAAATTTAGAAATCAGAGAAATACAAGATTGATAGGGATATAATTATTGGAGTGTAGAGCAGAAAGGATAGCGATGCAGCCCAATTATTACGTGAAGATGTTGGAGAAAAGATGAAGCCCTTCCACTAGTAAAAAGTATAGCATCACACAGTTACTTAACAAGTAGGATAGGAAGCCCAAAGATCCAGTTACAATAATGCTTTCCGTTGAAAAGCTTCTTGTGCTCTAAGCACTCAAAATTCCATGCTTTCAGAATCACTTTTGCACTGCCTCACAACCAAACAAACATGAAGAATCTGTGTGTTGCATGGTTTTCAAGTGAAGCCCATACTTGCCGTTGCTTTTGGAAAATCTTTCATACTTGCACCCTTTTCTTTCATTATAATAAGTGCATCTATATTGTATAGTGCCTTTTGGAAGCAATCTCATCATATTTTGCTATATATGATAACAAAATAAAGGTTCCAAGTTAACAACGACTAGATTATTAAGACTATAAACACCTTCATGCCCCAGTATATTTCAACACCAAACTCCGATTCTTTCATTAGAATATATATATCACAAAATCTCCCATATATGCGATTAACAAACACATTGAAAACGACCGATGGTTTTAATAAAGAGAGAGAGAGAAACTCAAGTCTAAATCTTAAGGGAGAAGACACTTTTTTTTCCTGTTTAAAATTGGTGTTTGAATGGAAGAGTAAGTCTAACTCTTAAGGGGACGTTTGGTTCAGGGTATGTGAGATTAACGGGGGAGAATATTTTTTCCGGAATGTGATTCTCCCGTTTGGATTTAAAGATTTCCAACCTCCGATAATAAGCTATTCCCAATAGTGGTATTTTGGGGGCTTATTACCGGGAATGTAATTCCCCCACTTCCTTAGGTATTGTTATATTCCCGGCGTTTTGGACTAAAATGCCCTTAAAACATTTTTTTTCAAAAATATACTTCTTCTTTCGTTGAATAAAAAAATGTACGAAGGTTAAATTACAAATTTATCCTTAAACTATTTTAGATTTACAAAAAAAATTCATAATTAGAATTTTATATGAAGTTCAGGGGTTAAAATAAAATTAAACTCTTTTATTATACCTATTTATATTTTAAATTTTGTAAACAAAATTATATAAATTTTATGAATTTAAAACTTTTAAATAAAATATAAAATTAATTATAGTAAAATTATATTTTTTTCACTGATCTTACATTCTAATATTTTCATGAGAATATTTAGAATTCAACTTATTAAAAAACAAATATATAATAAGGATAATTTGGTAAAATATACATTATAGTAATATTTTATTCCTTTAACCAAACACTATAATATTACATTTCTGGTAAACAAACCAAACACAACAATGCAACATTTACAGTAATGTGTTAAGTAATGTTACATTTCGATAATCCTATTCCCGGAGATAATGCTACATTCCATGAACCCAACGCACTCTTAGAAGGCAGAGGGAAATGATTTAAAATAATTATTATTTTAAAATTTATAAACCCTAAATCATCTTAAACAGAGGATAGTTCATAGTATCACTATCCCGCCCAACGGCTACGAAAGAATAAAATAAATATGAAAAAAGAGGAAATGTCAACCGAAAATGAATGAATGGATGCTGAGTTTCAACGGCTAACTGCATTAACGTCACTTGATTCGATTATAATTGTAAATGCTTGATGGGCAGTGACGCCTGCCTCCATTTATTGACATAGGGAAGTTGAACATTTCATTTGCTCCATCCATTCAAAGTAAAACAGTTGACCCCAAACATAAATTTAACCATTAATTCCCATATCTTAATTAATTTGGTTTCTCTATTTTTTGTCTTTTCTGATCGAAAAATGTTAGCGACACGAGTTATAATATATGCTTTTAATATAAAAATACCATGTTAATATGTTTATCAAATTAATTAATGGTATTCATTATTTGAATTGACACTATTTTAAAGTTAAAATATGTATGAAATAAAATTTAAATCCGAGTATGCTAAAAAGAAGAAAACCAAAATATAACTTTTTATTATGTTTTATTACTTTTATCAATTTCAAATATATTACAAATATCAGGGGGTGAACGTCACTCAATTTGAAAATTTATTTTCTTTATTCGACTTAAATTGATTTTGAGTTGTAATTTCATAAAATTAACTCGATTAGAAAAAATTTCAAACGAATTATAAACTAAAATTCGAATAACTCAAAATTTTTAATAATTAGCAGATTAATTTTTTATATAAAAATTAGCTGACCCTTATTCCCATATGTAATGAGGTAAGGGGGAGGTAGGATAGTAAGATGTCCTAACGCCAGGTTGAGAACAGCTTCCGTGGGAGACCTCCAAATTATAGAAAACTGTTCAAATTAAAATAAAATAATATCATAATTTATAAATATTTATAAATAAATTTAAATAAAAGCTCAAACAATTCAACTCAACTTTAAAAAAATTTAAATCAAAATTGAGTTACAAAATAAAATTTCCTAATTCCAATAAATTTTTTTTACTTGATTGTGCCCTCATCATATCAAATAGAGTTTAGGGCTGAAACCCACTGAAGAAATCAAAGACCGTTAGAATCGGAGTTGTAGGGATGGCGCCAATAAGGACAGCGTCACCGAGGAACACTGTGAACTGCGTTGACAGTGGCAGCACAGAATACAGCTGTGGTTGGCAGCGCCGTACCCGGTGCACCTCCTGATACCGTTGACCCACGTGGCTCCACTCCATTGGTCTTAGCTATGAATACTCTCTGATACCTTTTTATTAGATCAGCTTCTTTTTTGGGTTTATTCGGATTAAAATCCATATGCCAAGTGAGGGACAAATTAAACAGCAAAGTGTGGGGACAAGGGTGCTGTAGCTTTACCAATAATTGGTAAATGAAATAGAATCAATGTGGTCATTACCAAAACAGCAATTAAGTGGCCTGTGTTTGACTTGATGGGTATGGTTAATAAAGCCAAATCCTTGCCAATTAACGGCTTCTTTAGTTTCTTCTAAGCTTCAAATACCTACTTGGTTTTACGATGAACACAAACAACGCTCCCTCTTTATCAACGAGAGAGATGCTTACGGTTGCCTAGATATATACGCTCCGGGAGTTTTATGAAAATATTCTAAAAATTAAAAAATAAACTATATGTTTAGTAATTAAATTATAAAGTAATTCTATTTTCACTATCAAACTGAAAATTATCACATGAGAACTTGTTAATATAAGATTTTAGAAAAAGAGAAATTTATATAGGAGAAATATTATAGTGTCTCATGAAAGACGTTCGAAAGATTTAACAATTTTTAGAAGATGCTTAAAAGATTCGATCATTTATGGAACATCTATGAGAAGACACAGGATCATACATGCATGCACCTTGAAGAAGTCGTTGAATCTTTCGAAATAACTGTATCTTTATCATAAATAAATAATAATAATTTTCTTATATGGCAAAATATTTTTTAAAAGTATTATTTGACTAAATTTACCCCATAGTGTATATATATCTCTAAATATACAAAAAATGCATAAATGTGGCATATTTTATTAACCTTTCATGTATTTACTCGAAGTCAAAAAGAAAGTGCAGGTCATAGGAAGTGTATGCGTGACTTAAGTGAGGAGAGCGCTTATTTTAGGAGAAAACAGCCACGATCATGGCTGCGCAGCATTAACACAAGATACCTAAATTTCCTGATTTTCCTCCTTCCAAGCGTTGCCATAATGATTATTCCATTAGTCCTCTAAAATCTTTTACCTTCGTTATTTTTTTAAAACACTTACCAAAATTTTGTATTTCCCAAATTTAATCACCCTGTCTATATTATATATTAATAATAAATACCCTTTGAAACTGTAATTGGGTTTTTCCGTGGTTTTCTATGGTGGAAAACGCGAAGCTAAGAATCAAAACAAGGGGGGATAAAGCTTTTCTTCTTCCTCTCTCTCTAGTCTCTGCCTCCTATCTCTCTATACCGCTATTTGTCTTCTTCTCTCGGAGAAAAAGAGGAGTCGACGGAGAGACGGGAGACGTGTGGGGACTGGAAGCTTTTTTCGCCGGTGGGCACCGTTGCACTGCTTCATTTTCCAGCGGTTCCTTTCTGGGTTTTCTTTCCTACCGAAAGATCGCTTCGTTCCCACGGCATATTCATTTTTTTGCTACTTTACTCTTTATCATTTTCCCTACCCCCTCGTTAATTTTAGCAGATTACATTTAGAAAGAAAATAGATGCCGGAGGAGGGGATTAGCGTTATTAATATGCTTTGGGTAATGCTATTCTCTGGGTTCTTTTCAGCAGCAATGGCGATGATTGTTCTATCTCCTTCGTTCCAGTTATTTCCACCAGCTGAAGCCATTAGGTCCTCTCAACTCGATAGCTATCTCCGGATACCTTCAGAGCAGCCCTTACTAAAAGACCGGTTCTCTTTTCGAAAAGCTTCGCAATTCCGCAATGCCGAGAAATGCCTCTCCGCCGGTCACAACATCACCGACGTTTGTGATCCTTCTTTAGTCCACGTGGCTATAACTCTTGATGTCGACTACCTGCGTGGCTCAATTGCCGCCGTTCACTCCATTCTCAAGCATTCGTTGTGTCCGGAGAACGCCTTCTTCCATTTCCTCGTCACCGACACCAATCTGGAAACTCTAGTTCGCTCCACGTTTCCTCAATTGAAGTTCAAGGTATATTATTTTGACTCCGAGATTGTGCGGAACCTGATATCGACTTCCGTTAGGCAAGCCCTCGAACAGCCGTTGAATTATGCGAGGAATTACTTAGCGAATCTGCTTGAGCCGTGCGTAAAAAGAGTGATTTATTTGGACTCCGATCTAGTCGTCGTCGACGACATCACCAAACTCTGGAGCGCCAACCTTGGTTCACGAATAATCGGCGCGCCGGAATATTGCCACGCCAACTTCACAAAATATTTCACCGCCGGTTTCTGGTCGGACGAACGGTTTTACGGGACATTCATGGGGCGGAATCCGTGCTATTTTAACACGGGGGTGATGGTGATCGATCTGGTGAAATGGAGGAGGGTCGGATACACGAAGCGGATCGAACGGTGGATGGAAATCCAGAAAACCCGACGGATCTACGAGCTGGGTTCGTTGCCGCCGTTCCTGTTAGTTTTTGCGGGACGTGTGGCGCCCATAGAGCATAGATGGAACCAACACGGCTTGGGTGGGGACAACGTGAGGGGAAGTTGTCGAGACTTGCATCCCGGTCCGGTTAGTCTCTTACATTGGTCCGGTAAAGGTAAACCATGGGATAGACTCGACTCGAGACGACCGTGCCCGCTCGATGCATTATGGGCGCCTTACGACTTGTACGGACACGCACATTGAAACACCGCGAGAAGCGATAAATTGCCTGTAGAATTCCGACCAGGGACCATTTTAAATGCCCTGTGATGTTTTAACCGCCGGTGGGTTGTCCATTTTCAATGGTAGCCAAATGCCAATAGATACGGAAGCATCTTTGGTGGTCATCTGCTTTGTTGGCATCGGTGCAATATTGTCCATTTTTTCTGCAGGCTTGTGTTTATTTTTTTTGGTTATTTTTTAATAATTACTTTTACTCTTTTTAATACTCCAATTAAAGTGGCACGTGTACGTGCATTATACATATGCATACAAACACTAATCATAACCGTAGGAACTGAATGGGTGATGGGCACCTTATGCCCTGGCATCATACGTGGCCAGTTGGTGGAACTGATCATCTGAGCACCGCATGATTTGTTCCTTTTTGGTATCATCATGTTGTTCTTAATTTCCTCTGTGGCTATCTGGCTAAGATGTGGCATCAACCTTCATGCGGCTGCTTTGCTTCGTATGTTATCTCAGCTATTAAGTATGAAGAAAGAAAAAAGGTTGTTTTAAAACATGACCTGGACATTGCAACAGCCGCAGTTAGGCCTACAATGTTTCTTTTGGTGGTGAACTCATAAAAAAAGACCAATTGACACCCACAACTTCCGATCTCAATTAATTATTAATCTCTTCCTAATCCCTTTTTTTTAAATCATTGGCGAGTTTAGACGATTTCATAAGGAGATAAAAAAGGAATTTAAATCTCTTGGATTTTGACCTCATCTGATGTAATTGATGAATATATTTTACATGTTTTAAAGATTAATAGGGACTTGTTTTCTTATACTCTCTTGTTCTATATCAGAAAATTCCAAAAACATAGGTCATCTAATTTATTATCGACATTAAATATATAAGATTTTGAGTTTTAATCTTTAATTTTGTTCGATCTATAAATCAATTAATAAATCGATCTTATAATAGATATAAATTTTAAGAGAAACAAATAAATATAAAAAAGGATAAAGTACAATATTGATCACTTTCGTTTTAAGTTTTTGTACATTTTTTTATCTCAGAAATAAAATAAAAATATTTAGTAACTTTCGATTTTATTTAATTTAGATGTGATTGAATGTTAACTACCGTCAAACGTTTAACGAATTATTGACGGGATAGTGAGTATAATTTTCTCTAAATGGAAAACGGGATCTCGTTAAAACCCCTTCATAATCCACGTTAAACTGAGTTCAACGATGAAAAGTTGAAGGAGAAAAAAATACCCAATAAAGTTTTATAAAATCAGAACAATTGCAAATCCAAAGCAAAACAGTTATACTAAAACCACCGTACACGTGAAACCCAGAAACATTAGAGCCCAGCAGAACAAACAAAGAGGAACCACAATCCAACAGGTACTAAACTAAAACGAGAGGACAAAATCAGTAAAACACCAGTAGCACCTCTACAGGTAGTAACGAGAAGACGGACAACATCAGCAATTCGGTCCAAACATAACAACCAAAACAAGCACCGAAAATGGGAATGCTCCAGCTTCCGACTGGATAAAACAGCAGATTCCAAGCAATAACGTAACTCCTGGGATTGCAGATCATTCATTACAAGAACCCAATATAGAAGCAACACATAATTCTATGTAAGTCTAGGGCGAAACTCCTACAGGGGAGGAGGAGCTAAGACATAAAACCGACGTGGCCAGCTTACTAACATAGCGTCTATCCGCAACAGTCAAATTAAGCATAATATCATCAATAGAGAAGGAAGAATCCAAGAATCTAGCCTTAAACCACCAAGTTAATCAGGATTTAATAAAAAACAAAAGCTGTAAATAATCAACCGTATTACTGTTGAAAATAACAGCATTCCTATGTAGCCACAGAGACCAAATGATCACGAAGGGAATCATTTCACAAAGACGGCTACCGAAATATCGGGGTCTAGCAAAGCTCTACGCTGCCATGAACTTACCAGGGTCATGATGGAAGACCATAGAAACGTTTCACAAAGCATAAAGGTGAGCTCAGATCTTCCAAGAAACTAAGCAGGAGCAAAAGAGTTGTTTAACAGATTCAGGAGCATTACAGAGGGGGTAGAGGTTATCCACAATCGAAGACACACCTCTCTTTAAGAGTTCCGACTTTAACTGGAACATGTCGATGAAGAACCAACCCGAGGACTCGACCCAGACCATTCTTTCAAATCACTGCAGCTTCTGTTCTCACGCAGCTTCTGTAAAACCAGTCAAACATGAACCAAGTGTTCCCGCCAATGCTTATTGTAAATTAGAATATCATCCAGAAAAATGAAAACAAATTTACGGAGGAAAGGCCCGAAAAAGATGATTCATTGTTGCCTAGAATGTGGAGGGTTAATCCAAATGGCATTACGAGGAATTCGTAATGCCCTCGTGAGTCTGAAACGTGGTTTTATGAATATCCTTCGCTTTAACCCGAATCTGGTGGTACCCGACCTACAAGTCCAACATGGAGAAATACTCGAACGTTTCCAATTTATCAAACAACTCATCTTCCGTGGGAATAAAAAATTTGTCTTTGACTGCATCTGCGTTCAAGGCCCTGTAATCGACGCAAAAATGCCATGTGCCATCTTTCTTCTTGACAAGGAGCACAAGCAAGGAAAATGGGTTGGTGCTCTTGTGAATCAGATTATTATCTAACATTTGTTGGACCTGGCGTTAAACTTCCGCTTTCTGAAAATACGGATACCGATAGGGTCGAATTTTGATTGATTTACTCATGGGCTGTAGATGTATGGAGTGGCCAGTGTCTCGAGGAGGTGGTAGTCCCTATGGAGTCACAAACACAGTTGCAAACTCAGTCAGCAATTCTTCAATCTCAAGAGAATCTAGTACCTGCTCTGTCACTGGCGGTGTATCCATACGTAAACAGTAACAAGCGGCCAAGGCATTAGTATCAAACATACGACAGAGGGACTGAAAGTTGACTCGGGAAGGAGCTAGACCCGGTTCACCCTGCCAGTGATGTTCTATAATCCCTAATCAAAACTGAAATTGAATTTTCTCAAAATCCATTGTGACAGGCTCGAGAGTGGCCATCCAGGCTACCCCTAAAACCATTTCGGTGACTTCCAAAGGAAGTACAAGAAATTAGTAACCAGCTGTGTTCCTTGAACCGTTAATTGAAGTTCTCGAACGCACCCTTCATTCTTCAATTTGTCCTCGTTACCCACAAAAACGCGAAAATTAGGTGCGGCTGTGATGGGTAATCCTAAATATTTGGCCACTCATGATTAAACGAAATTCTGTACTACTACCATCAATCAAGATACTTCCTTGAATTTCGTCGGTGACTCGAAGTGTATTTGGTATGAAGCAACCTGCGAGGGCATTAAAAGAAACCAAAGATTGTTCCTGCACCGCTTAATTAGAACCGTAGACATCCGTTTTTGTCCGGGTTCTAACTTATTATTATTATTATTATTATTATTTACATATTTTGTAGGCTCGAAACCAATGCCCAAACAACAAAGAACCCGAAGCCCATAATACAAAAACAACCAAGCCTGCCAGGTTCCGGCCCATGACTGGAGCCCAATAGAAGACCCAAAACCCGATTAAGGTTCCATCTCCAGCCTTCAACGCCGTCACCCTCCCAGTCGTCAGATCTGACGAAAATTAATGGCCCAAATGCAATTCCAACTAGGGTTTTTTTAACTCTAAATGTGTCATCTCCCGCCACTCAAGCTGAGCCATGCCCAGCTCCCACTGTCGTCGTTTCAACCAGATATCAAATCAATCAAGGGAAAGAAAAGCAGTCAGAGGAAAAACAAATATAAAAACATATTTGTACCAAAAGAAATCTCGAGAAAATAGGGGCTTGTCATAAGTTAAAATAGGGCACCCAAACCCTATATTCTTGGTACCAACAAAAGATCTCACCAAATCTAACATGCAAAATAAAAGAGAGATCAGAAAGGGGAGAAGACACCAGATTCGAACTGAGAGAAGAAAAAGAAGAGATTCGATCAGAGAAGAAAAAGGGAGAGAAAAAGAACACAAAAAAAACAAAGAGCCAAAAATCTGAAAAAGTGAGATAAAAAAGATAGAGGACAGAGGAAAAACCGAACAAAACAAAAGAAAAGAAAAGGGAGAAACCCCTTACCTTTGATCAGAAGAACATTGAAAAACCTTAAGGGTCATCGAGTCTTTGAGTCTTCGAAAGGTAAACCCTAGATCTAGGGCTCTAGGGTGAGTTTTAGGCTAAAGGGGGCTAGGATCCGAGTTTAGGAGGACGTAAGAAGCATTTTGGGAGGTTTTTGTTTCCTCCGGCCACCGTGAGCGGACGTGAATCGCCACTGGAGAATGGCGGCCCCTCTCTCCCGACGAGGAGAAGTTGATAGAGTTTGGGAAATTCTCTCTCTCTTTTGTCAAACAAAATGAAAAATGAGGAGAGAATGAGGAAAAGCCCTCTAACCGGGCTTATATACCATGCACGAAACGACATAGTTTCGAAAGGGGTGGGTTTGTATTTTAGCGCGTTAAATAATCATAATTTAAGTCCCTCTGTCTTTATAATTTTACCTTCTGGCCATTGATTGAAGTATTATATTATTTTGTTTCGAGCTTTTATCTTTCCATATTTATATTTAAGTCACTGATTTTTATATTATGACATGTTTTCTAATATTTAAATATGACCCTAAGGTTTATGATTCTTCTGTTTTGGTCACTATTTAGTATGAATGCATTTAGGTATAATTATTATTTTCTCTTTCATGTTTCTAGTTTAGTTTATTTTCATCCTTAATATTATTTATGGATTATTTTTTTCCAGTACCTTTATTGTTTAATATGTTCGATTGTGGCTCTGGTTTTTCTGTAATTTTTGTTTGGTCCTTCAAGTTTCTGTTAGTACCATTCTGATCCCTTAAATCACCAAATATGCTTATTTTTGTTGTTTGTATGTTGATCTGTAATATTTTCTTATTTTTTTTCTAGTCCTTCATATATATGCATATTTTGTACATTATGTTTTTATATGTTTAAT